ACTTTAGAAGGCCAGATCCTGAAGATGAAACTCAAATACTTTGGCCACCTAATGAGAAGGAAGGACTCCCTGGAGAAAAGCCTAATGCTGGGAACAATAGATGGCAAAAGAAGAAGGGGATAGCAGAGAATGAGGTGGCTAGATGGAGTCACTGAGGCAGTTGGTGTGAGCTTAGGTGGACTCCGGGGGATGGTGGAGGACAGGAAGGCCTGGAGGAATGTTGTCCATGGGGTCGTGATGGGTCAGACACAACTTCGCAACTAACAACAACAACAGAGATATAAAAAAGGGGCAATTATAAAAGAGATATAGACAGCTTAGGGGATATTGAAATTATGATGCATGCTTCCATAGCAGCTCATACAGCAATTAGTTCTAAATAGAAAAAGCTGGATCGCACTACAATTGATGATTGATGTGATAGGGTCAGGGACAAGGTCTTCATGACTGGATTAACCCATTTGATGACTTGGTTCCTGGATGATACAAATCCATAAGTTATTTAAACTTGAAGTACAACCTAAATGCTTAGATTCTACATACATACATACACAGAAAGTTTCCCACATTCCTGTACATAACCTCCCCTCTCCAACATTTAATGACAGAGTTTGTTTGTAATGACAACCTGCAGGTTGTGGACAAACAGTGGAAGCAAGTGCCTCCACCTGCCACTTTCAGTTAACAACCTAGGATTTCCCCCTTTTTAGTTTGTTGTTGTGACATCTGAACCCAAAAAAATCTGGTTCATTAGGGATTCAACAACCTAGAATTAATCCAACAACAAATCATGGGTAAAGTATGATTTTTCTCATTTAATTGACTCACATGATAGCATTGATATCACAGACTTCACTAGAAAGTTGTTCTGTGAATCCTGTAATAGTTCTTCGAGGCAGAGGAACCTTGGTATAAGAAAGGCAGCAATCTTGGTTGTTTTGGGCTGGAATACAGAAAAAAAAAGAATGCACTGACATTTTAACCTATATCTTTGCCCTGCCAAATGCATATACTTTAGACCAGTTTCCAGTCAATTAACAGCACTGCAAAATGTATAGACTGTCATTTGCTTTTTAATACCATGAAAAACTACTTAATCCTCGCAGTTTGCAGGACCCATAAATCAACATAACAAGGAATAACTTGAACCCGAGGATCTGAGGCATATTACTCACCTTCAGTAGCACCTAAGAGTAGCTGCAGACACATCAAAACTGCAAAGGCTGCGTTCTTGTTGAAGTTTGCCATGATCCAGTTGCTGCTTAGGGCATGTGCATAAGAAGACTTTGGCTCTTCTGCACTGGGTGAACAAGCTCACTCAACCTACTTATAGGTTCAGCCAACCTACTTGGTGAGATTTCTGGGGCTTCACTAAAGGGCGTGCCTTCTGTTTCGCAATTGTGGGGATTTCCCTATGACTATATTCAGTCCCAGCAATGTCTCTTCTTTAGCTGCCTAGCTCTAGTGAATTAACATTTTAATTAGGAGTAGAGGAACCAGATGGCCTTGTGAGGGGGCAGAACTGTGGTAAGAGAAGGAAATCCTAACGTTTATTTCCTGCTATTTGTGGGAAAGCACACATTTGGATAAATTTGCTGGAACCTCATTCTCATCCAGGTGTTGCAATCCCTTCTCCCCGCAAAAAATAGCTTGAATAGTCCTTTATGATATAATCAGCAAACAGGCCCAGCTTGGCAGAAGCTTGAATAGCGCTTTGTTGGAAACAGCACAGCCCTTGAGCAAATTTGGATGGATGAGCTGGTTCAGGACACCTGGTACTAGTTTTCATGCTGTCCCTCAAGGTGTGCTTCCCTGAGAAGGGGCCTGGTTCCTCACCAAGTGTGACCTGGGAAGAAGTTGGGCTCACATGTCACGAGGAAGCAGGCCCTGGGGATGAATACTAGGAGTCTCCTTTCTCCCTGGTATGATCAGGAGACGGTGTGATTACTCACCCTGAAGGGCATCAATTCCTGAACACAAAGAGCTTTCCTTCTCAAATGCAGTGCTAGATTACCCTCTAAAGTCCCTAATTAACTGGAGCTGGGGGTCTGGGTGGGTTCAGGCTTTTCTACTTAAAACGTAAACTACGTTGTATGAAAACAACACGTGTCACCTGACACATCACAACTTGTCCTACATCCTTTGCTCCAGCCTTTGAATATGCTATGCTGAATCCTGGCCGGATATGGTGCTTCCAGTTCTTGCCATCTTTGAGCAATCTTCTGTCTCTGCCCTAAAACTCATCTCAACAGTAACAAATGATCTTGGGACTATTTTTAACAAATTGATTTTGCTGCAGAATTAATAGTGACAGGTCATTTGGCTTTTTCCCCAGTTGTACAGCCATCCTGTAATTCAGTATTATTCAGCTATCCTGTGTTATTATAGATCAGTATGGATGCTTGCTGTTTTAATGTTTTTATGTAAAGTGGTTTATCATGTTTGCTGAAAAAGTGGTATGTAAATGTCTTAAATAAATGAACAAAATGAAATATGCAAGATAACTAAGGCAGATTCAATCAGATTAGGAAAGCTAGAATTTCAGGCTACTGCTCTAACACATGGACATCTCCAGATGACCAATATAGAAATCAGTTTGACTACGTAATTTGAAGTAGAAAGTGGATAAACATATTATTGCCAAAATAAGACCAGGAGTGGATTGTGGCAATGACCATGAACTAATAATGCCAAGAACTGGAATAAAGTGGAAAGAGATCACTAATAGAAGAGTGCCAAATACAGCTTCACTAACACTCCTGAGGAAATCCATATAAAGAACAGATTGGCATTACTGAACTCAACTAAATTTTACCAAGAACTGTGGACTGAAACCAGAGCCATTATTAGAGAAGAATGCAAGAAAAAAGACAATTTTTGTAGCAAAAAGGAAGAAAGAGCCTAGATAGATGACTGAGGAAACACAATTGCTAAGGTCAGGCAAAAAGCAAAAGCAAAGGGTGACAGACAGAGGGTTAGAATCCTGAATACACCTTTACAGCAGACAGAGAGATGAAAAAAAACCTATTATAATGGCCTGTGCAAAGAAATAGAAGAACAAAATAGAACAACAAGAGACTTCTTTCAGAAGATCCAAGATAGCAAAGGGAAATTCAGACATAGGTTAGGAATGCTTAAAGACAAAAAGAAAAACACACTATCTTACTCAGGATTAAATAAGGATCAGGTGGAAAAATATATAGAAGAACTACACAGAAGAGATAAAAGCATGACAGACTCCTTAAAAGAAGGATCCTATACAGGAGAGCCTGCAAAATTAGAAAGTGAAATGAAAACTGCTCTGAAAGTACTTGGAAGAAATAAATCACCTGAAGTAACTACCAGCAGAGCTATTCCAAGCTGCAGAGACTGAATTAGTCCAAATCTTAACAAGATTATGCCATTGAAGGAAAACAAGGAAAACAAAACAATGGCCAACAAACTGAAAACATTCAATAAGCATCCCAATCCTTAAGAAAGAGTGCAACAATTATAGAGCAATTGTACTAACTTCCCATACAAGCAAAGTGCTGCTCAAGGTGTTACAACAAAGAATATTACCCTATATGATGTTCAAGCTAGAATCTGAAAATCAAGATCATATCACAAAGATTCATTGGCTACTGAAAGCACCAAAGAATTTCAGAAGATCTCTGTATGCTTTATGGACTACAGTAAGTCCTTTGAGTAGATCACAAGACGCTAACCCTAACCCTGAAAACATGTGTGGGTCTAAGGACCTAATCATCCTGATGTGGAAAAGCAGCTATGGTAAGGGCTGAATATGGAGAAACAGAATGCTTTCCTATAGGCAAAGGTGGGTGTATTTTATCTCCCCATCTAGTCAGTCTGTATGTGGAACAAAATCATAAGGAAAGCTGAATTAAGATCAGAGGAAGCAGGAATGAAAATTGGTGGAAGATACATCAATAATTTAAGATATGCAGATGCTACCATATTTCTGGCAGAAAGCAGCAATGAACTGAAATTACTCCCGATGAAAGTGAAAGATGTGCAAAAGCAGACATACAGCTGCAAAAACATAATTAGAGAAGAATTATACAACTTTACTGTCATCCCAATGAAGAAATTGGAATTGAGAAAGATTTTGCATATCTTGACTCAATCATCCATTCAAAGAGAGACTGTAGCCAAGAAATTCGAAAAACACCAAAATTTGGAAGAGCAGCAGTGAAGGAACTAGAAAAGATAAACAAGTTAAGACCAAGAGATCAAGGTCAAGATCATCCATACTATTGCATTTCTAATCAGTACATATGGGTGTGAAAGCTGGATAGTCAAAAAAGCGGACAGGAAATAAATGGAAGTGTTTGAAACGTGGCACTGGAGGAAAGCTTTGCAAATATCCTGGATCGACAGAAAGACAACCAAGTGGGTCCTCGATCAAATTGACTTTCCTTGGAGACAAAAATCACAATACTGAAGCCATCATACTTTGGGCACATCACGAGAAGGCAGAACTCATTGGAGAAGACAACCATGCTAGGGAAAGTCCAAAGCAGAAGAGGAAGAACAATTCTGAGATCAGTTGATTCAGTAAAGGAGGCCACAGCCTTGAGCTTACAAGAGCTAAGCAGTACTGTAAAGGATAAGGCATTCTGGAGGGCATTAGGGACACCACACGTCGAAGGCGACTTGATGCTCATAACAAAACAAAACAAAAATCCAGTTTCTGTGTATGGATATACATGTGGATATACATATATGCCTAGCACATTGGATCCCATCTTTACAGGACTTTTTTTTTGCATTGGCCTACTTTTGCCCGAATTCTGCACCTTCACAAGCTCAACAGTTTTATCTTTCTAGAAGACCTCATTACCAAAAACTCAGTTTTTAAGAGAAACATCCCATAAAGCACAAGCACACTCCCTTTTTGATGTAAACATTGAGCACACAGGAATCTCTCAGAATTAAAGCATCTTTAACCAAAATAAATATTATTGGCCTAGTATAGCCTTGATAATTACCTTTAGATGCCAATTCATACAGCCAGTTGAATGATTCGATGACCTTTTCTTACTCTAGGGTTCAAGATTTCCTGTTAAAACAGATTGCAAATGTATATCTTAATGTGCTTGCCTTTCATATATTCAATACAAAGTGTGGACTGACAATATTTTCTGGATGTTTTGGACTACAACTTCCAGCATTCCTGACTAATGAGCATGCTGTATGGGCTTCTGAGACTTGAAGTCTAAAACATCTTGTTTTGTACCTTTTCAAAAGGTTGTGTACTCCAGACCCTCCTATGCATGCTGTTAACCTCCCTTCTTCTAAACCCCAGCCATGCATATTAATTTTTTTCTTTTTCTTCTTTTGTCCTGGGGGACATGGGCAAATGTGATCTTAGCAAGCATCAGGACAAAGCGACTTGCTTTAGGAAGTGCCGCGATGAGGCAGCGGGTTGGACAGGGGAAGTATAACATTAAAGCTGGAGATTCTGTCCACACGGGTTAGTGGGACTTCTGAAGTGTTGGGCCTTACACATGGGTGGCAGCCACCAGTTAGGTTCTACCTTAGGCAGCAGAATACTAAATTGAGAGTCTAAAGCCTTGACCATGGGGAGCCCCTAGGGACATCATGGTTGTGACCGTGACTTTGAGAATTGGTATGTCTGCAGTTCCAAGGGACATAGGACAGTTCACTATAAAGCCACATTTGATCCACAGGTTAGAGGTTCACCACCCCTGTTTTAAATACATAAAAATATTTTCAGTACCAAGGAGTTCAACCCATCTTTTTAAGCCCTGACATCCTGATCTCATTATGAATGCTTCCAAAAATGGTTTTTAGTGTGCAGTGTTTTTGTGTCCAAGAGACATCACCTGTTTGTAATCCCCCCCCCCCCCAATCTTTTGCCACTGCCTTTTCTATCTTGCACTGTGGCAGAAAATCCATGAACCGGGGAAAGGCAAGATGCAAATCAAAAAGCAGAGACCTACCAATCCGCCTTTAGAGGAAAAAGGTGGGTGAGCGTAGGAAAGCACCGCTACCTGGGGAGTCTCATAGGGACAGGCTGGAGCACTTGCCAAACCCTGCAGCTGCAGCCGAAGTGGAGACATATTTGGCACCTGCTGTATCCCCAGAGTTCCACCCTTGTTAACCAACACTTCTTTGTGAGTACTTCCCTTAATGAAATACGTTAAATGGGTTTTAATTGTGTCAGAGATCTTTAGGAGGGAAGTCACCTGCTCACTGCTAGCTGTCAAAGAGTAGTTTTGTTG